CTTCTTCTTCTTCTTCTTCTTCTTCTTCTTCTTCTCACTGACTCACTGCTGTTACTGCATCAACCACCATCAAAATATACTGATCATATTTACATCGGCATTGAAGATGTTTATATAACATGTTATATGAAAATATAGAACATATGAAACTAAAGTCCATCAGAATCATCAATGATCAATAATCTTCGACAGTGTAGATGCCTGGTCGCCTGAGCTCTGGATGATCACAGGTCATTGTGCTTGGAGAAGATTTAAACAGTTTATTTGGTGATCGTCTTGTGTCTCTTTGTCGTCGTCTTGTGTCTCTTTGTCATCGTCTTGTGTCTCTTTGTGTTTCTTTGTGTTTCTTTGTGTTCATTTGTGTCTCTTTGTCGTCCTCTTGTGTCTCTTTGTCGTCGTCTTGTGTCTCTTTGTGTTTGTTTGTGTCTCTTTGTGATCATCTTGTGTCTCTTTGTGTTCATTTGTGTCTCTTTGTCGTCCTCTTGTGTCTCTTTGTCGTCCTCTTGTGTCTCTTTGTGGTCGTCTTGTGTCTCTTTGTGGTCGTCTTGTGTCTCTTTGTGATCATCTTGTGTCTCTTTGTGTTCATTTGTGTCTCTTTGTCGTCCTCTTGTGTCTCTTTGTCGTCCTCTTGTGTCTCTTTGTGGTCGTCTTGTGTCTCTTTGTGGTCGTCTTGTGTCTCTTTGTCGTCATCTTGTGTCTCTTTGTGTTCGTCTCGTGTCTCTTTGTGTTCATCTTGTGTCTCTTTGTGTTCATCTTGTGTCTCTTTGTCGTCGTCTTGTGTCTCTTTGTAGTCATGTTGCATTTATTTCTCTGTTCACCAACAGTTTGTGAAACACCTGTATTCTCAACCCTCTGAGATCCTGATTTGTCCAGTATCAGCTCAGTCTGCTGGTTGTGGACCTGTGGGTCTATCTAGGTCTGGGTTCTCCATAAACAGGCTCAGCTCGGCTCGGCCCGGCTCGGCCCACCTCCTCGGTGTGAGCATTCAGGTGTCTGTTAGGTCATGTTGGTGTCAGATCAGCCAGGTGCTGAGGATTAGTGTCGCTAAA